CAATCCCTATTAGATAAAAGACTTGTTAAAATTACTTAAAACACTTTATTTCTTCTTCTTCTTCTTCTTTTTGTTATTTTCTTTAATTAAACTAATGGTGTTTTATTTTGAGATATATTGGAAAAACATTATTAAAATCATTTTTTTTATCCTTTTTATTTGTGGCATTGTATTAAATTAACGTCGAGCCTCAAGATTTGGAAGTCTCGTCAATTTAGCATCGGATCCGAATTAAAATCCCGATACAATTGGCAAGTTAAGGAATGACCTAATTAATTAAAAGTATTTATGTGAAATGTTGAATAAAATCGACCTAGCTTGACTCATTATTACTATTTTTTTAGCATTTTTAGCATCGGTGCTAAGGTATCAAACCATCGTCCGTCCTTAATAAATAGGAGACTCGTTGGTTCGACATCACAATCGAATCAACTCCATACATTAAACTAAATTTCACAACCTAAATATTGCTAAATTTTCTAACATAAATAAAATTAAAATTATTACAAAACAATAACATAAAGTAATTAAAAAAATAGGTAATAAAATAAATCGAATGGTCATTAAATAGTGACCAAAAGGCTCCTGCATATGAAAATTATCAAAATGCCCTTATATGTTAAAATTACATAATTACCCCTTAAAACCCAAGTCACCCCCGTAGATCGCTCCGATCACTTTCCGATGATGCATGGGTGTGTGGATTGTCGGGGAGGGTGCGTTAGATCTCCTCTCTCTCTTGATGCTAGCAATGTCAACCACAACAATCGGTGGAGAGAGATCAACGTTGGTCGAAACCAAAGCTTTGGGGCTTCTTCTCCGACCATTATCCCCACCACGACGAGGCACGTTGATGACACCATGCTAATTAGAGGACCATAGGGAACATTTTTAAGATGGTTAGGATGTCCAATTTGGTCGGATCAAGAAGATTTTTTAGGTTGCATCAAACGGGTTGGGAATGAAGTTTTGTGTTGATTCGTTGTTTTTCGATGACTATGACTATAATGCTCGGGGGGAACACCTTCTAGAAGGATGAGAAACACTTTTGTGGTGGTAGTAATTGTTGGTTTGACTATAATTGAAAGAATTGACCGGGTCCCTAAACAGATTGTGTCGCCAACCTTCTCTCCGTAATTTCAGCCTCCTCCAACATCTCCTCATTCTCTAACCAGTTGAGAACGATGGATCTAGTGGTGTACTATCTATTAGTGGTGGTGGATGGAGACAATATCAATTGGAGGATGATCGATTTAAGGGAGAAGTTTCGACGGGTCCGACCCATGGGATTGATAGGTCGGTTAATTCTTCTTAAGGGTTGTTTGGTTTTTCTTTTGCTTTTTGGGAGAAAATGGTTGTTGGTAGGAAAGATGAATAAAAACAGCTCCTATATTTTTAGGGGGAGATGAATAATTATAGCTCTTTATATTCTTTTTAACTAGGGTTTTTTTTTTTTTTTATGGGGAAGGATGAATAATGAAGGTTAGGGTTTTTTGTTGGGAGAGAAGTAATTGAGACTAGGATTTTTTGGGTAAGAGATAAGCATGGAGACCAGATTTTTGGGATAGGAAAATAATTATGGAGGCCTTAAAAATGAGGTGAAATGATGTTTATATAAGGATTTCTTAGGGTTTGGGATAAAATCAATTTAGGACCTTCATTGAATTATTTTTATCAATTTCAATGTATATATTATTATTTATCTCTAATTAACTCCTTAATTGAAATTGTTGAATTCCTATTCTCTTGATTTCTTTTAATTTCGCATCGGTTCTTAATCAAGTTCCTTGATTTTTATCCCTTTCTAATTACATCCCTAATTCAATGTCATTTGGTTCTCACTTTTCACATTATTTTCAATTGGATCCCAAATCATCTTACCTATTTTTCTTTTTTTAATTAAAAATGGGGGATAGTTTTAAGAAATTAAAATATTAAAAATTTATAAAAATGCCTAAACGTCATAAAAAGACAAACCATGAAATATTTCAATTTTTTTTTAATTTCTCTTTTTTTTTTTTTGAAGTTTTTAATTTTATATGAAAATAAACAGGGGATCTAAAATGGGGTACTACAAAGTAGGAGAGCGACCATGCATGGTCTCCAACAACCCCTCCTTATAATGCATTACAAGGAGATATTCGAGTGGTTTTTCTTTTTTCCAAAGAACTTAAGACTTTTTAAGATGAGAAAAGCTACTAATACCAGCCAAAATAAATTTTATTAATAGAAGTTGGATAGTTCAAAAATATTAGTGGTATGTGACAATTCACAAATCATTAATTAATTTTAAATTATAAATTAATCTTTTTAATTTTGAAAAACGAATTAATTTCTTCTTACGTTTCAAAAACTAATTATTTTTATTCATTTTATTTTCTTTTCTAATTTTTTTATTTTCTATTTTTTATAGATATTATAAAAAAATTAGCAAAAAAAGAGAGGATATTTTTAGAATAAAATAATATTAAATTAAACGTGATTAATAATGATAAAAAAAACTAAATAATTAATTTTGAAACAAGAAGAACTAATTAATTCGTTTTTCAAAACTATAAGGATTGATTTATAATTAATTCCATTAATTGATGCACAACATTTTTGGTCACCAATATATATGGCATTTTGAAGAGGAGATATAAGTAGTTGTAACTTGCATTTCGCATTCTTTTATGAACTTAAAAGTAATGAGAAACTTAATTTGCATAATCAAACTCATTTATGATCTTTTATTTGCTCTGCGCATACAATTGAATTCGGTTTCCACCCATAAAATAACTCACAAAACCAATCGATTAAATCCTTCTTTCGGAAGGAAGACTTGAAAATGTAAGCACGTTTAAGCCAAATTAATCGACAAGGCATTTAAAAAATCCGAATGTATGGAAAATGATCATTGTTAGAGCTCAATAATCAATATTTATAAAGAAAAAAGAGAGACAAAAAAAAAGGTTGATTTTGTTTTTTTAAAAAAAATATTAGTAGCCACTAGCATCAAGGGCGGACCCATGTTGAAGTCTACAAGGGCCATGGCCCCCTCCCATTTTTGCTTTCATTGTAGCTACTTGACAAAGGTTACATTTACATAGAGATGGTCAAGTTTTCGGCCTCCCCAGCATTGTGCCCTCGTTTTAGATTAGTCTTATTATCGTAAAACGTAGTTGATTGTGGGTTTCCTTTTGGGATGTTTTTTTTAAAGATATAAATATTTAATAATTTCAATTTAAGATTACTAGTAAATTATAAAATACCTCATCTATTTTTTAAAAAGTATTTAATTTTTTGACCGAGTGATCATTTTCAATTTACACTATTTTATTTCAAAAAAATGTTATTTTTTTCTTATATATATATAATTCCTTAAATATTAAAAAGCAAAAAATATTAAATTACAAGAAAATTTAAAATACAAGAACTAAATATTTTTATTTTGGAACAAGAAGAACTAATTAATCCATTTTTGTTTTAAAAAAAAAAACTAGATAAACTAACTTATAATTTACTCAAGATTACTATTATTATTTTATCCGATCCGTATCAATGGTCGATGAAGACAAGAAAACTTAAAAGTTATCCAATTGTATATAGAATGATAACACTTATTCTTATTCTTTCGGTTTCTATAGCTACCACGCAACGAATTATTTTCAACTATGAGCATAGTCAAGACTAAGCTTTGTAATAAGAAGGAACATAAATTTCTTTCCGATTATTTGTTAGTGTATATTGAAAAAGAAATTGTTAAAAATTTTAATATAAATTCACTTATAAATAATTTTCATGGCTTGAAAGAATGAAAATCTCTATTTTGAGTTAATGTATTTTAAGACATTTTTAAAAATATATATAAGTTTGTGTAAATCATGATAAATTTATAAATATTTATTTTAACCCTCGTAAATATTTGGTCTTGCGTCCGCTACTACTCGGCATCCGTCACACTTAATCATCGGTGGCAAAAGCGGTTGTGCCATTTCTTTTATGGGCTCAACAAACGATCATCACCTTAAAAAGAACGAGAGGTCTTGTAATTAAATGCTAAAGCCTATATGGGTCCACATTAATTAATACTTAGATGCTAATAAGAACTTCTTTCCCACCATTAAAGTATTTTCATACTAATTTATGTATTAAGTTTATTAAAAAAAATGGTTTTGTTGAGGACTTCAAGATTCAAACTCAAAACATTAAAGAAGCAAAATTTTTAATGAATTTTTCACACATTTGAATCCTGTATTTTTTTATTGAAATCTTTTATTTTTCAAGATTTTTTTTTATTTTAGATCTTTCGTTATAAAGTAATTAATTTGTGATTGACATGTAATATTGTAAAATAAAAAATTTCAAAAAACAAAGAATGTAAAAAATAGAAAGTTTCAATAAAAAAAGTGAAAGAATACAAAGTTCAAATGTGAAAAAAAAAATCATTTTATTAATCAAGAGACCTAAATGTTGGGGTTTAATACTAATTTTTATTAATTACAAGAATTGCAAACCATCACTAGCTCATGAAATCTAACTAGATATGAAAGAAACGATAATTCAGTACCCTTAATTGTTTTTTTTTTTAACTCATGCATCTAAGGTTACTAACGAATTGATCCGTTAAAATTTGAATCAATAATCTCTTATAAAAACCATTACTACTCGGGTTATAAGTTGTTTTTGTTTAGGTCATGCATTAAACCTACGATCGGTAGATAATGGACATAAGCCAATAATCTCCCTATATATATGCATTAAACCTAACGGAATTGGTCGGTTAAAATTTGAATCAATAATCTCTTATAAAAACCATTACTACTCGAGTTATAAGTTGTTTTTGTTTAAGTCATGCATTAAGCTTTTACTCTCTCCCCGAATATATGCACACAAACATGACAAATCAAATAGTTCTCTATTTATATTATGGTTGATGTCCATCATCTACCGATCATAGGTTTCCTCAAATTTTTTCCATTTTCAAGGACTAATGTGGTCTTAGCAACTCGTTATTCTTTTCACAATGCCAAGAAATCATTGTAGTCGCCAAAAGTCGTGGATGTGCCTCCGTTGCCTAAACCTAAAATGCCTCCATTGCCACCCAATCTAACTTCCACGCCACCTACATTAGCACCACAATTGGGGTCCCTTGAAACACCGGTAACTCTCGCATTATCTCCAGCAGTATCTCCTAGCATTTCGGCATCCGTCGAACCTATGAATCCACCAAAACCATCTCCGTTAACTTCGCATCAAACGGGTTGGGAATGAAGTTTTGTGTTGATTAGTTGTTTTTCGGTGATTATGAGCTATAATTTTTAGGGGAAACACCTTCTAGAAAGATGAGGAACACTTTTGTGGTGGTAGTAGTTGTTGGTTTGGTTGGAATTGAGAGAATTGGCCGAGTCCCTAAATAGATAGTGTCGCCAACCTTCTCTCCTTAATTTCAACCTCCTCCAACTTCTCCTCATTCTCTAACCAGTTAAGAATGATGGATCTAGAGGTGGATTACCTATTAGTGGTGGTGGATGAAGACGATATCAATTACAAGACGATTGATTTGAGGGAGAAGTTTTGATGGGTCCGACCCATAGGTTGATGGGTCGACTAATTCTTCTTAAAGGGCTATTTAGTCCTTTTTTTTTTTTTTTTTTTTGGTTTTTTGGGAGAAAATGATTGTTGGTAGGAAAGATGAATAAAAACAACTCCTATATTTTTAAGGGGAGATGAATAGTTATAGCTCTCTATATTCTTTTTAACTAGGTTTTTTTTTTTTATGAGGAAGGATGAGTAATTAAAGTTAGGGTTTTTTATTGAGGAGAAAACTAATGGAGACTAGGATTTTTGGGTAAGAGATGAGTGATGGAGACCGGGATTTTTGGGATAGGAAAATAATCATAGAGGCCTTAAAAATGAGGTGAAATGATGTTTATATAAGGATTTCTTAGGGTTTGGGATAAAATCAATTTAGGACCTTCATTGAATTATTTTTATCAATTTCAATGTATATGTTATTATTTATCTCTAATTAACTCCTCCATTGAAATTATGTAATTCCTATTCCTATATTTCTTTTAATTTCGCACCGATTCTTAATCAAGTTCCTTGATTTTGATCCCTTTTCAATTACATCTCTAATTCAATGTCATTTGGTTTCTCACTTTTCATATTATTTTCAATTGGATCTCAAATCATCTTTCCTATTTTTTCTTTTTTTAATTAAAAATGAGGAATAGTTATAAAAAATTAAAAAATTAGAATTTTATAAAAATGCCTAAACGTCATGGAAAAGACGAACTATACAATATTTCAATTTTTTCTTTGAATTTTTTAATTTTATATGAAAATAAACAGAGGATCTAAAATGGGGTGCTTCAAAGTAGGAGAGCGACCATGCATGGTCTCCAACAGCCTTTCCCTATAATGCGTTACAAGGAGATATTTTCTTTTTTCCAAAGAACTCGAGACTTTTTAAGATGAGAAAGGCTACAAATACCGGCCAAAATAAATTATATTGGCAGAATTCGGATAGTTCAAAAATATTAGCGGCATGTGACAATTCACAAATCATTAATTAAGAGTAAATTATAAATTAATCTTTTAGTTTTGAGAAACGAATTAATTTCTTATTTCTGTTTCAAAAACTAATTATTTAATTATTTTTATTAATTTTATTCTCTTTTCTAATTTGTTTTATTTTCTAATTTTTTATAAATATTACGAAAAAATTGATGAAAAAAAAGATATTTTAAAAATAAAATAATATTTAATTAAACTTGATTAATACTAATATAAAAACTAAATAATTAATTTTTGAAACAAGAAAAAATAATTAATTCATTTATCAAAACTAAAGGAACTAATTTATAATTAATTCCATTAATTGGTGCACAACATTTTTGGTCACCAATATATACAGCATTTTGAAGAGGAGCTATAAGTAGTTGTAACTTGCATTTCATATTCTTTTATGAACTTAAAATTAATGAGAAACTTAATTTGCATAATCAAACTCATTTATGATCCTTTATTTGCTCCGCACATACAATTGAATTCGTTTTCCACCCATAAAATAACTCACAAAACCAGCTGATTAAATCCTTCTTTCAGAAAGAAGACTTGAAAATGTCCGTACGTTTAAGCCAAATTAATCAGCAAGGCATTTTAAAAATCAGAATGTATGGAAAATGATATTGTTAGAGCTGAATAATCAATATTTATCAAGAAAAAAGAGAAAAAAAGGTTGATTTTTTTTTTTTTTAATAGTAGTAGCTCTGGCATCTGTCACACTTTAATCATCAGTAGCCAAAAGCAGTTGTGCCACTTCTTTTATGGACTCAACAAACGATCGTCACCTTAAAATGAACTGCCGTTTTGTAATTAAATGCTAAGGCCTATATAGGTCCACATCAATGGATACTTAGACACTAATAACAACTTCTTTCCCACCATTAAAGTATTTTCATACTAATTTATGTATCAATTATATTAAATTTTTTTATCAAATGATTTTAAATACATATTCTCGTATTAAGTTTATTAAAAAAAAAATGGTTTTGTTAAAAACTTCAAAATTCAAACTCAAAACATTAAATGAAAATTTTTTTAATGAATTTTCCTCATATTTGAATCTTGTATTTTTCAATTTTTTTTATTGAAATCTTTTATTTTTTAAAATTTTTTATTTTAGATCTTCTGTTATAAAGTACATAATCTGTGATTAATATATAATATTGTAAAATAAGAAATTTTTAAAAAAATATAGAGTTCAAATGTGAAAAAAAATCATTTTGTTAATTAAGAGACCTACACGTGCAGGCTTAATACTAATTATTATTAATCACAAGAATTGGGAACCATCACCAATTCATGAAATCTAACCGGATGTGAAAGAAACCCTAATTCAATACCTTGAGTTTTTTTTTTTTTAATTAAATACTCAAGATTTCTAATAGAATTAATCTATTAAGATTTAAACATGTAATCTCTTACGAGAGACACTACTATTAGATTATAAGTTTTTTTTATTTAAGCCATGCATTGAGCTTTTACTCTCTCCCTGTATGTGTGTATGTATACATATATATATATACATATATACATACATATGCACACAAACATGACAAATCAAATAGTTCTCTAGTTATATTATGGCTTATGTCCATTGTCTAATGATCGTAGGTTTCCTCACATTGTTTCCATCTTCAAGCACTAATGTGGTCTTAGCAACCCGTTATCTTCTTCACAATGCCAAGAAACCATCGCAGTCGCCAAAAGCCAGGGATGTGCCGCCGTTGCCTAGACCTAAAATGCCTCCATTGCCGCCCAGTCTAACCTCCACGCCACCTACATCAGCACCACAATTGGCGTCCCCTGAAATACCGATAGCTCCCGCAGTATCTCCTAGCATTTCGGCGTCCACCGAACCTATGAATCCGCCAAAACCATCTCCGTTAACTTCGCTCGTGCCTATCGAACCACCTACATTGCCACCAATAGAACCACCAACGTTGCCACCAACAAACTCAATGTCACCAAAGGATGCTGTGTCAAATAATCCCTAGTGCAAGCCCTTCAAACCACGTCCATGAGGTCAATATTCCTTAAGTTAAGGGTCTGTGTCATTATGCATCTTGTCTGGGTCTATTTCATCATTACATGTGTTATGGAGTACTGTAAGGCATGTCATTGTTCTTAATTGGTCTCATTTTTCTTCTTATTGACCATGTAATAAAGTATTTTTATCACCCAACTGTTATAAAATGGAGATGCAGTTCGCTTTTGAGGTCTTCGCTTAAAGATTGAGGGTTTGGTGGAAAAAAATTCTGCCTGAAAATACTAGTTAGATTTTTGAATGAAATGTTTAAAGTCCAATGACCGAATAAGAAAACAACTTGATATTGATTGATAAAAACTAGCCAAAAAAATATCCCAACCATTAAAAATATATTCAGAAGCTAAAGAAGGGTAGTCTGTATTTCTTGATTTCCTGCCCATGGTAGATAAGGAAACCCCTTTGCTCTGCCATGGCTAGACACGAAGGTTTTTTAATGGTCAAATAAATGGGCTCTGTACCTTCATTGATTTTTCTACTTTCCATAGTACCTGTGAAGTTGGGCCCAAAGAACTGTTACGCGTCAGTCTGAACGTGAGCAGTAGGTTCAGTAGGGCCAACGAGGAAGGTTCAAAAGCAACAGTGAAGATATGGAATCCGATCCGCGTGACAATTTTGATTCACATGGTGTTGGAAGAAACAATCGGGAAAATATAATATTGTTTTTAAAATTTAAAATTCAAATTTTGTAATATTAATATTTGAATTAATACGTATTGTATTTTTTTTAAATAATATTGTAGTGCTATTTTGGGGTTTGTTTTTGTGTTTGTCTGTTCATTTATCTTTTAGAGTTCCTGATGATACAAAATTGAAAAAAATCCTATTCTACTTTAAGTGATTCGTTGCCCTCCACTTCATCTCTCTCAGCCTAAGTTCATTTCTAGAATGAGAGTAGCTGTGGGATCTCAGAAGGAAATACAGATTTTGATTGATGTGAAATTTTTATGTCTTGCTTGGATTTTGGATATTAAAGTTATTTGGAGTTAAAAATAAGTTTTTTTGTGTTCCTGCTTTCTTATAGTTATAATAATTTTCTCAAAGGGAGCAGGCCGAGGAACATCACCGAGGGTGAGATTCCAGGAACTATTTTCGAAAAAATTGTTTTTTTAAAAAATATTTTTTGATGTTTAAAGATTATATAAAAAAATAAAAAAAATTATTATAATATTTATTATAAAAATAACTTTAAGTTGTAAAAATGATTTTTAAGAATATTTAATATATTTATAAATCAAAAAATCAAATATTAGTAGAAATAAAAAAATTAAATAATTAATAATAATTGATAAGAAATAATTAAAAATTAATTTGATACATTTTAAATAAAAAAAATGAGAAAAAATTTATTAAAATATATCGAGAGAGAAGTGAGAGAAAAGTGAGTAACGCAAGATTGAAACATTTCGTAAGAGAGAAAATATATATATATATTTTTTTAGCTTGGAAGTCACTTTTTCAAAAATAATCCATTAATTTTCGTTAATTAGAAATCAAATTTTGTTGATTTTTTTTCTTAAACACAAAACTAACATAGAAAAATGAGAGAAAAAAGAGAAAATAAGTTCCAAAACAAACACAGCCTAAAAGTTAAAACCCCTGAAAATAATATGGATAATTTCAGTTTAAACATACTAATTGTTAAGATCTTCTCTATTGAAGATTTTGACAAAACTTGCATTTACTTCAAATAGAAGATTTTAATGAAACTTGTCTTTTACTTCAAACTGCTAAATTATAATTTTGTTTTTTTATTTGAACTTATATATATATATATATATATATATATATATATATATATATATATATAAGAAAGAGGTAAAAATATCCAAAAAGAACAAAAAATTTTGAGAAGAAAAACTTTCTAAAAATAAAAGGACAAAATCATAATTTAATAATTTACAGTAAAAGATACATAATCCTGCCATAGATAAAAGCTGAATAGAAAATATTTAGAGCAATTTTTTTTAAAATAATAATAATAATTAAAGCTGCCCGTAAAATAGAAATATCAGTAAAAGAAAATTCTTGCACACATTGATAAGTTAGAAAAGGCAGTTGCCTGTGATATCATTAATCAATCATTGGATTCAACATAAGTGTTAACTTTGTTTCCCCCATACGGGGAAGTTCATTGTAAGATCTAGCGGTAGAAGAGATCAGGTTATATACAAGCGTACGAAGGAGGGATCAAAACTGCTAAACTTGTAGCGAAATTATACTAAATGGGCATGGAATTAATGCTGTATCAATTCTGGAATGAGCTTCAAAAGAAACGAGAGTTCCCTCTGAGAGAATTGAGGTTTTGATTTCCCCTGCATTTCACCATCTCCTTCTGCTAGACTCTCTGCTTCTTCCTCTTTTGATGGCTTTATCAAATCAGATACTGCCTCAGTGATCTCTTGAACCAGATCAACTATCACTCCATCTATACCCATTAAATGCTGCATGTAAACAGCTTCTGATACGTTACTGCAAATCAAAAAACACAATTTAGTACCTTGACATTTGACAGAATACAAAAAAATTTCAGTTCTAAATTTAACAAACTGAATCATGCCTGCTGATAAGGTTTGACCTTTGATTCTTCCATGGATGAAAGTTTTGATCTTTTTGTTTTTATTTTTATCAAAATCACATGAAAGAGTAAATTTCGAAGCCAGAAAATTCAAATACTCACTTCAATTGTCCATAAGTTAGAAGTGAAAGCTTGGCATCCTTGATCTTGGTTACTGCCCCGGGATTTCTAAAAACCCCTTTGACCTCAGATACAATCCCTTGCAAACCACCTTCTAAGCTCACCTTCATAGCCCCCTCTAAGGAATTCCTCCTTGCATCACTGAAAATCTCATTACCCCCATTTGTCAAAAAGTAAACCTGTAATGCAAATACAAAACAATCATCAATACAAGATGAAGGATACCATGACTACGTGCAATAGTAAACAATCAAATTTACCAACTTACAGGGTAGTTAGTCTGCAGTTTTCTGACGAGCAGTGCTGCATCAGGCTGGAACGATGAGAAAATAATAGGCCTGTCTTTACCATGCTCAAACACCACCTAGACCACAGAATCAATGCACGAATTAGGAAAAATCTCTTGTTTTAAGTTAAAAAGGGAGTCTTGATTGGCAAAATGTTATCTATATATACCTGCAAGATGGATTGAAGAACATGGATGAGATAATCTTGCTGGTAATCAATATGGTCATCAAATTTTAGTTCAATGTTGAAGCCAAGTGAAGGCTCCACTTGTTGGAATGCATCTTGCAAAGTGCACAGAGAGTCATCTCTCTCTACATTCCACTCTAGTATTTTCCCATCTTTTGTTTTCCTAAGCAAAGATTTGCCAGACTTTCCTGCCTCTTTTTGGGGTCCAAAGCATAGGAATTCAGATAAGCAAAGTTCTGTCACTCTCTTCTCAAAGACAGTGCCCTGAATTTACGAAGAGAATCATAAACGAAAGTTCAATTAGCTCAAAAATTTTTACTTCCTAATAATAGGTTGAACGCATGAAATTTTAGGTGGCCAAAAAAAGAGATTCCAAAAGGATTGGAGAGGAGACACTTACATTATCTTCAGACAGGATGAAATCGTCATGGAAAATGACTGGGCAGTCATCTTTTGTCACCTACAAAAACGACAGTTCGTTTGTTCACTTTTTCTTGTCTTTGTCTCATTCAGATTCAGCTCCCATACTTTTTATTTTCAATTCTATTTCTATCTTTCTTTCAGAAATTAAAAAAGAAAAAAAAGGCAAAAAAAAGAAGAATAATTAATCACACCCATCAAAAATAAACACAATCAGTTCAATATCATCCCATCATAATCACCTGAAAACTCAGAAAGAGGAGACCAAAATTTTGTTTAAAGTTTCCAATTTACCAAAACACCCCCATAACTACTAAAGGCTTAGAAAAAAACAAAGGTTCAAAGTCTAAAACCGTACGCCGCCACCGATAACCGACAGGTCTAAACGTCTAAGAAACAAGTTAAGACCAGAATGAAAAACATAATTAAAGATTAGCAGCACTATTAAAACTTTTCCAGCGAGCACGAAAACAAGATTTTTTTTTTAAGAACAAATTAAAGAGAGCAAAGAGGTTACTAATTATATATATGTATATATATATATATACCTGAACATCAAATTCGATGAAATCAATGGGGTGTTTAGCAGCACTATTAAAAGAAACAATGGAGTTCTCTTTAATAGCTTTCATCCTGCGATCTGTTGACTGCAAAATATTCATCCCATTCCCTCTATGTCCAATCACCAAAAACTTTGGTATCTTGAACGTAGCTGCTCTATTCGATTCAACTCCTAAAAAAAAAAAAAAAAAAAAAAAAAAAAAAAAACACATCAAGAAACACATAATAAACTCCAAGAATCAATCAAAAACATTCTCTTTTTGGCAGTTTTACCTTTGGAGAAACGAGTTGAGTAGAGAGAAAGAGAGGCATTCTCTGGGACGTGGTCAAGATTAGGAACATCAGAGACATGAACAGCTTTAAGAGCCATAACTAATTAGCTAAAGAAAATAACAAAAAAGGGATTTTGGAGGCTAATGTTGTGATGAGAAGGGATTGGAGAGACGTTTATATATTTGTGGAGAGGAACCAAAACGCGGTGGATCTCGACGTAGAATATTCCAATCTTTGCATTGTTATATTCTTTTGGATATTCCCAAATCCTCTGCTTATTTTCTCCTACGTACTAGAATCTTTTCGGTGAGGTTTACGTCCTTGTCCAAAAAAATTTATTTTACTGTTTAATTAATTACTTAATTAATCGATTATTGCGTTATCATGATTTTCCCACTTAATGGGCTCCCTTTGAGAATTGATTAGGTGGGGTGAGGAGCATAGTTAGATTTATTGGGAGACTGGCACGCGGTATTTTAGTCATAAGATTTTGCATTATTGTTGATGTTTTATACGACCTGAAAGTTCCTATTTGATTTAATTTTAATATTATGAGAAAACGACGTGGTTTGGGAAATTGATCCTCCGACTTGTTTGTTTCCAGAAAAATAAGTTTTAAGAATTTATTTATTTTTATTTTTTCTTGTTTGTTTTATATTTAAGAAAAATTTCAACGAAATTTAATTTTCAATCAATAAAAATTAATAAATTATTTTTAAGAAGTGAATTTTTAGCTAAAAAAGAAAAAAATATATTTTTTTCTCTCTTACGAGCTCTCACATTATTTACTTCCCTCTCGATATATTTTAATAATTTTTTTCTCTGTCTCATTTTTTATTTAAACTATATCAAATTACTTTTTAATTATTTTTTATCAATTATTAGTAATTAAATAATTATTAATAAGTGGACCAATGGATGATCAACAAATCATGGTTTAGAGTGCGCTTACGTTCACCTTACCCTAGCCCACCGGTTCTCTGGTCTTCTTGTTTTCATTTTGACAAGTTGGAGTCATGAATAGTCTAAGGAAGGAAAACGATTTATAGATGCAAAATGAAGCTAGCTGGAAACATCCTCCTGTCATAAAAGGAAAACGTTGTATGAACTAAATTTTTTTGTTTTATATATATATATATATATATATATAAAGTAAAAGAAAGAATATCCAAAGAATATTTTAGTTAGATGCCAATGAAGAATAAAAACGCAATTAAATTCTGTTGGGACTTGATAAAAAGGTTGTTTTTTTCCTACACATGGCAAGTGGTTTTTCTTTTTTCTTTTTTCTTTTTTTTCTTGGGATAAACAATGTATGTGAATCGGATAATAAGTTATTATAATAATAAGAATGGTGAGTGGACATTGAGAAGGAGCCAGCAGGCCATGAAAGGATAAGGGAGCTATTGGTTGTTCCAAAAGGAAATGGAAAACAAGCATGGATTCATATGTGTAGCCACGGCAGGCTTATGTGTCCAGGTTGGTGCTTTGACCACAAATAGCTTAAAACAAAGATATATATATGCTTGAATTAAATTTGCATGTGTTTTGAGCTGTTGCCGGCATCCACAACCCAACAATTGGGGCCAACCACGTTTAAGTTATACATGCCTTTACTCTTAAGTCTAACTACAAAGTGCAATACCCAAAAAAAAAATAAAAAATCAAGAGCTGCCTCTACGTATGTGAATACCTTTATGATAAGGTTGGGTGACCAAATTAACTTTTAATTTGTATTTTTAATTATAATTAAATTTCCCGGTATATATACTCCTCGACCTAATATATATTTACAATAAGCAAAACGTAAGCCTTTGAATTTAAAGATAAATAAAAAGAAGTGGAATATTGTTGAATATTATGAAAAATGAATTTTAGTTTTAATGAAATAAAGAATGTTGGTATGCCTGATTTTGGTTTAAATAATTAACTCACGATTTCATCTATAGTTTTCTAGATATGAGATTACTATATATCAAAACATAAAGAAATTTTACACATACAAACAAATCATGTGATATTTTTATGCATGAATGAAGTTTTGGCATGACTTATGTGGTGTGTACAACATATTTAATTGCTCACCTTAACTTTTTTTAAAATTTCATAATAATCTTTAATAGTTTAAAAGCTACTCTACTGTTTGTTTTTTGTTTTTTTTTCTTAATGATATTTATTTACTAAATTTTTCATTAATATAATTTCTTAACATTTATTTTGTCTTAATTTTATTTATTCATCTAAATTTTCAGATAATAACGTCAAATTTCAATGAAATATGCACAGAATACTAATACCTAGAAAACAAAAATTTTTGCTTTATTTTCAAAATTAGGTAAATAAATTTTCTAAAATAAAAAACCCAAAATACCCCCATATGGAAACCCCCAAAGCTCATATTCAGTTTCGATTCTCTCCCAATCTAACCCTAATTTTCTTGCTCTTTCTCCCAATTAATCCAACATCACATTGTAACTCTCATCATCATCATAATCTCCCCAATCACCCGCAAAAAAAAAAAAAAAAAAAAATCCCCAAGCCAAGTAATCAGAATCATTCGAATATTCGAAGCAATCTTCTTTCCAATTAATCAGTGAACTTTTACACATACAAACAAATCATGTGATATTTTCATGCAAAATCATTTATGAATGAAGTTTTGGCGTTATTTATGTAGTTTTGGTATGATTTATGTGGTGTGTACAACATATTCTCATAACCAAGGGTGGAGATACATATAAGATAAGGGGCAATTGCCCACCTTAACTTTTTCAAAAAATTCATAATAATCTTTAAAAGTTTAAAAGGTTAATGGTTCAAGAGTTCCTCTACTTTTTTTTTTGTCTTAATTGTGTCTTTTTATTAATTTTTTCATTAATATCATTCATCACTATTTTTTTAATCTTAATTTTGTCCTTCCATCCAAATTTTCAAATAAAAGCATTAAATCTTTCAATTCATTTGAGCTTTACAGGCTCATCGTTCAAGTCTGCATCGACTAAAGGCTTTCTACTCAAAATGTTCTAAAAAATACAAAATTTATTTACAAAGATATTTTTGAAATAAAAAATACAATTTTATCAATTTAGATAGAAAAATTTAATAGAAGAATATACTGAAATATTAGGTATTACACAATGACACAATAGACACAATTAAGAAAGTAAAAATATATCAAAAACTTATCATATTTATAAGAACAAATCGAGCCATTTAGTTAAAAAAATAGTAATTAAATAATAGTAATTAAATAGTTCTTCCACTAATATTAACCATCTTCAATTTCATAGTTCTTTTTTAAAAAACTCATTCTTTGCTAATCAAATTCTCTCATCTCACCTACTTTTTCTACTCTTTTTTTTCTATTTTCCAAAGAAAATAAAATATAAATGATACGGAAATTGACAAATGTTCTAAGTTATTAACAAATTTTAAAACTCAAGGATTAAATAATGGTTTTTAAAACTATGAAGACCAATTAATTAATTTTTTACTAAACTACTAGTACCGAGTTATGTAGTCAACTCCGTTAACAATCAGGAACTAATTAATACAATCCAAAACAATTTTTCTTTCTCCGAATCCTTTTGGATTTTCCCAAAAAAGATGAACGGCTAGCTGCATTTGGTTCAAGATCATAAATATTCTTTAAGTAGGTAGAATCCATCATTCATGGAAAGAACCCAATGTCAGGCACCATGCAAGCAGCCTCCATCTGTTGCGCACTCGTTTTTGGCAATATTTCCACTCACTAATGAGCTCATACCCCACTCCTCAAACAATCACGTAATGTCCCATTCCATTTGCCAGCGAATCAAATCACTGTGTTATGATATTCATGTCACAGAGCAGCTCCAGCGGATGCGATCTAAAACGTAATATACGTGGAGATTTCTGCTAATCCAACCAATATTTTCTCAAATAATTGAGATCATCTTCAGCTTAGTAGGGTAAGTTTCTGAAGAGTTGATGAATCGAAGTTGGGATTCCTTACAGTAACCAAATGGGATCCAGCCGATTCCTTTTTCTTTCATGCCGAGGCTAGTTGTCTCTAAATTTTGTTATCTAGTATTATGCAGTCACTTTCAATATTTTGTCCATGTTTGATGATTGTCTAATTCTACGTATGCGTCGCTTGTCTTAATTGCATTGTTTAAACACATGCACTCGTCGTATCCCAAGTGTCGAACAAACTAGCAGGGTGTCCTGTCGAGTGAATGAACCTTGCTCTAATCCACGCCCCTCGTTTTTAGATTGTTGATATAATGGAATTCCATGGAGGAAGGAATCCAATTTAAATTCTCACATTTTTTTATCACTACTTGGATATAATAGATTAAGAAAAAGATAATTTAGACAAGAGTTTGAGTTGAAAGTTAATTAAGACCCCTATAGTTATTTTATTTTATTTTAACAGATTTAAATTTTAGATTTTTTAATTTGGATTAACGTGGGTATGAGTCATAAATGCATGTTTAGTTAAAAGTTTGACAATTTATATATTTAGTTTTAGTTCTCTTGGTTAGCAATAATCTTTCTTTAGAAAATAGGTTATGAGTTCAACTCCTCATAGATAATAATCCAAAATAAAAATAAGTTATCCATAAATCTCCAAAATTACAATACAATTGAGTTGGCTTCCAAAATTACTCTTTGCAAAAAAAATAAAAATAAAATAAAAAAATAATGAAATTGACAAATGTTTTTAAGTTATTAGAAATTAGATTTTTTTTTCCTTTTTTCCACAGAAAATAAATAGAAAGGATAATGAAATTGACAAATGTTTTTAAGTTATTAGAAATTTTAAAACTCAAGATTGAATAATGGTTTTTAAGACTATGAAGACTAATTGATTAATTTTATCAAACTATAAGTACCAAGTTATAGTCAACTCTTAACAATCAGGAACTAATTAATACAACCCCATAAAAAAATTTAAAAATAAAATAAAAATTTATTCAGATAAAAAATGGAGCCGATTGGATGGATTATATTCAAAATTTTATATATTTGTCTGCACATGATTGGATTTGCTTATCCATTATATAGCAAATAAAATAAATTATAATATCAAAGAGAAGTCAAATTTGCTATCCT